TGCCTGGATGACTGCTGCAACCCTGCGCCGCATAATGCCAGTTAGACGTATGATTTGTTGAAGCGTTATCTGTCGCCATTCTCGGTGCAAGTGAACTTCTAACTGTTGCAATGTCTGTGGAGGAGGCTCCAAAGCCTGTATTCGCCTACCCAATTTGTCTCATAGATGCTCTATAGGGTTGAGATCTGGACTTCTTGCTGGCCAAGGAAGAGTGTTGACGGATTCATTCTCTAAATAAGCCTTTACTGCCCTAGAGCGATGAGGTCTAGCGTTGTCATCCATGAATAAAGTCTTGACGCTAACGTGTGGTTGTCAAAATGAGGCACAACTACAGGTGTAAGCACGTCCCTGGTGTACTTTTCGCCAGTAAGGTTGCCATTGATTGTTACCAAATCCAGCTTGCAATCATGCGAGACACAGCCCCATACCATAACTGAGCCCACACCAAAAGGCACTGTTGGAACAATGTTTCTTGGAGTGTAAGCTGCGTTACGATGCCTCCAAACACGGGTTCGACCATCAGTTACGTGGAGTAAAAATCTACTCTCGTCTGACCAGTGTATTCGTCGCCAGGTTTGAAGGTTCCAGTTCTGCCTTGCTCTGCACCAGGCCAAAATCTCCCTGCGATGCCGATCGTCAAGTGTCGGGCGTTTTATGACTCTCCTTGACTTCAGTCCCGCAGATTTTAAACGATTTCTTACTGTTCTGTTTGACAGATTACGACCAGGTAACCACTGCCTTTTAAGACGGGTGCTTTTTGCAAACGGATTTCGTCTGACCAATCTACCAAGGCTCCTATCTTCACGTTGGGTTGTTACAGACTGGTCGACCAGATCGAGGACGGTCCTTAACATTCTGGGTGGCAACATGTTTTCTGACCAAACGGCTGATCACTGTGTAATGATAGCCAAGCTGTCTACCTATCGCCTTGTAGGACATACCAGCGGAATTCATGCCAATAATTTGCCATCTCTGCGCCTCTGATATCCGTCTTCTTACTTAAAATGATTTTGCATTCAGAAATTCGGGACTTAAATACGGATTTGATGCACGAGAAAATAGTGCATATTGGTCGTGAAGAAGGGAGCAAGTTGTACGTGGGGAAAAAAACGCGCCTGATTTAAATGTCACACCTGAACGCTCACATCCTTTTAATTATGTTTGAAATTATGAATATTGCTCAACATCGTGAAAATTAAACCTTATTTTCAATAAGCAATCCTGAAAAATATTTGGGGGTGCTTAACTTTTTTCCAGGTGTATATATCCTTGTATAAAAATAAAGTCCAAGCTAAGTATCTTATCCAACAATGTAGATAAAGAAACATAATTACAGACAGATTGAACAATTAGGTCGGGTTAGCTCCACTAGAAAATTAATAAATAAGCTTCGAAATATAAGAGACAAAAAGAAATATTTGAAACTTTGAAATGTAAGAGACATAAAAGGTAGAATTTAAAATGGTATAAGACTTGAGATTTTTCCCCTTTACTTCTGAAATTCTATCAATCTTTGGTTGGTATCAGTGTGCAAGAAAATATTATAATGTGTGAAAAACTATTTCTCTATTTGTGTAATCGCAAAACTCGATAGAAATTATGGCTGAGTTTAGCACTTCTCGTACTTCAATCAGTTAGAAATTAGAAATAAATTATTTTATTTGTGTTGGACATATATTCTGGTTTGGAGTATAAATTAATTGGTTTTTACATCTTGCATCACCCTAGGATGCAAAATTTCCTCGTGATATGTTCATTTACATGTATGTAGAATTTAGAAAACTTAAACATCATATTTATATATAAATACATCGTATTCACTTATAGAGAAAGATCATATATAATAAATTTAACTTAAAATGTATTTTGGTATCCTTAAACAATCTTTCGACCATATTTTAATCCTAGATTTTGATTTTTGTTATTATAACCTATTACTCCTCTATTACATTAATTTATCTTATTGTAATCTTACTTGTTATTCATTTTTTTTGCTTGTTATTTTATGTCTACAGTTTTTCCCTGCTTGAAAAGTTACCTTTGATATACACCTTAATTTATACTTAAGCATTTGCTAGGATATTTATACCAATTTTACGGGAAATTGACGCAACTTACGTTTTGGTGCAGAAAATAAATGACCTATGTACTTATTTTGTTCATATCTATAAATACCAAAGTTATTTAGCTTGGAGACGTAATTAACCTTCAGTTAAAAACTATCGTGCGTGTAAATATCATTCCTTTTGTGACGCTTACATCTTGACTGCTTTATTAGCAAGACAGAATATAGATGTAAGATTTTGTTCGTTAATAATCCCAACACCCAATTGACTGTCTTTTAGAATATTAATTAACAAACGTTAGTGTGTTCCAATTACAAAGTCTCTTTTGTATATACATTAATTATAGAGAAAAAAAGAGAGTAAATAACTGAAAAAAAAGGGATTCGACAAAGATCGTTTAACTTTCGCTATTACAGCTATTATATCCTTTTTTTTTGTCAATTAAATATAGATGTTGAAGTCTCAAATGTTCATCAGTTATTTCTTATGAAGATACCACATAATCACAAGACACCATTAATTATAACTTCTAATGTTAAACGTATTCGGTAACATGAACTATATACCAAGTAATTAATTAGATTTGGTGGAGAGCACAGACCATATTGGTTTTAAATTTTTCAAAAATAAAACAATATTTTTAACTGAAAGAACTGATAAGGACACTACGCCTTTTTAAGCATTTTTGCAGATATTAATAATCATTAATTATGCTAATAAACATTAAATGTAATTAATGTTTATCAATATCAATTAAAAAGTATTTTCTCCCCCAAAATTATTAAAATTATATAGTAATTTATTTTTGAGGAGTTTCTAAATTTCTATAATAATAATAAATAATTTAATTGGGAGTAACTGACAAACTAAAAAAAAAAAAAATACTTTAATGAATACTCTGCCCTAGGTCGTCAGTTGGGTACCCTCGTTGTTAGAGGTGTTTTCGACTTTAACCCAAGAACACCCGAGTCTATTTAGCGAAATCATCAAACACCGAAGTAGACCTTCATGAAACATACATATCGCATCTGGCCGATGTAGTTCTTGCTATTTAGGATATTTAATGTTATATATTAAACCTAGCTAATACTATAAATAACCAAAATACATATTGAATTATTTAAACACAATACTGTAAAATAAATAAACACAAACTTGCGTCTTATTTAGTAATTTGTAAACTCCAAAGTTGATCTATATTCCGGTTTTACGATGGAAATGAATCATATACGCAAGTAAAGCTCATCAAAACATATCGGATCATTTCGCATGTGGAAAAGAAAAGGTAAAACTACTGACAAAATCTACCTATTCATTGTGAGTGTGCTGAATAGCAAGCATAAACGAACCGCGTAGTGGCACATACTGTGTTTATTTTTAAATACTGTTTTATGTATAACTAACTAAAGATTTGATTATAAGTAAGAAAAACTCTATATTGTGTGTAATAAATAAATCACACTGTGGAATACCGAATTGAGTTTGCGTGACAAAGGGATACATGTAAGTAATAAAAAGAGGGCAATAAATCCACGTAATGCATCAACTTTTGGGTGTTATGTTTTGCACATTATGTGCTTCTAAAATTTCCACCTCATTGTCACAACGGTAAGTTTGTGGACTTATAACGCAAAAAACTGGGTTTTGATACTCGTGGTAAGGACAGCACGAGTAGCTTGCAAAAAAACAAATGTGTTTGTGTTGGGGTGAGATAATAACCAGGTATTGCGTAAAACATTTATTAATGAAATCGAAAATGCTGTAAACATAATATGCGTTATATATTTTTCAAGGATTATCAGTTTTTCGTTGTTATTTTATTCAACACCTAGTCGTGGGATTTACCGATTCTGTTGAAGAACCAAAGAATAAGATGTTTTACAGAATATAATGAATAGGGACTTGGTATTAAACCCCCAACCTCATCGAAATATATTTATCAGTCTGGAAATATCAAATATTACCATTGTGAAAAAATTTGTTTCTTTGTTCTAACACTGA